AGGTCGGAGGGGGTTTGGCTTCTCCACGGCACGTACCTGCAAACCACCCGGGCTGGAGCAGGGGCTCGGGGGCTGCCTTTTTGGGTGCTTTAGCTGGGGAGCGCTGGTTGAATGCTGGCCAGCTCTGCAGCGCTGGCCCCGGGCGTGGACTCGCTCCAGTCCCCGCAGAGAGATTGCACTTCCCCCGCCTCCATCTCTCTGCTTTTTTCTTCCAATCAGCCGGGCTCTTTTCGCTCCTGGATCCTTAGCCAACCTCACAGCCCTTCACAAGTCTCCACTTTTCCATCTGCTCCCTAAGCGGGATTGTCAGGGACAGGCTTCTCCTCTCTTCTTTTAAACTCTCTCGTCTGGCTCTTAACGGGGCTCTCTCTGTCTCTGCCTCTCTCTATGTGCGTGTGTGTGTGTGTGTTTTTTTTTTATTGCTCTTTGCTTTTGCAACACTAGCCAAAAGAAAGGAGGAGGGAAAAGGGAGAGAGAGAGAGCGAGGCAGAGAGAGAGAGCGAGACACAGGAGGAAAAAAAAATCTTACATTAGCAACAATCCTCTTCTGACACTTCCAACAGTCCTCTTCTGGCGTTGGCAGCAGGCACATGAGCCACCAACATTCCCCTTCGCTTTAATTTCAAATGCATGGCCGGAAAAAAAGCATAAAAAGATAAAAAGGTTTGGGTTTTTTTCCCAAGTCCCACCTAGCACGGAAAGAAGAGAGCATTCGGGTTTTCCCTGCAAAGTTCCGAGGCCCGGGCCAAGCTCTTGCACCAGCGCACGGGGAGAAGCAGAACTTACACTGCAAGTGGCTGCCTTGTAAACAAGCGCTCAGGGAAGAAGACAAAAAAAAAAAATAAGGGGGAGTTTTGTTGTGTGTCTCTTGCACCAGGAAATGCACGTACAGACTGAAGTGCGATCACACTCGTCTCCGGGCTGCGTGGCACGCTGGGCTTTCTTAACGAGACCGTGAAATTGACACACTAGTACATTTCACAGCCAGAGGGGCGGGGAAGGGGAGAGTTTTCCTCTCCTTTTTTTCCTCTCTCCTTCTCTCTCTCTCTCTCTCTCTCTCTTAATTTTTTTAATGTAATTTCTCCAACTCCACCTTTGTTGTTATGGGCGTCATCTGCTGCTAGCCAATCCCCTGCCTGAGCTCTGCCTGTCAAATTAATGGCAATCCCAATAAGCAAACGGCTCCTACAGACAAAAAAAATGCAATTAGGTGTTATGAGCTGTTGCAGGGGGGACGGAACGACGACTTAATCTAAAATCCGCAGATTGAGAGGAGGGGGTGCATGACTTCCGTTTCTTTACCAGTGCAAGGATTCTTCTCTCTCCTGCAATTGCTGTTGTGTCCTGTTGCATTGGATATGCATCAGACACCAGGGATCTTTATATAGAGAGGATAGTGTGTGCGTGTACGCACACATATGTATATGCACACACAGGTTTATATATATTTTATTTACATAAGTACACACATATTATATATGGAAAATGGAAGGGTGTATCAGATGGTCCTGCTAAATAAATGTACTACTGTTTTGTCCATTTATAATGATTAATTTAAAGAGCTAGTGACTAGGGAGAACCTATTTTAGAATCAACATCCTACTCAGGATGTTAGGAAACCATGCTCTTAAGAGAGTCCCCCCTCCCCCCACAACCCCTTGGAATTATATACTTGTCATAGGATTCCTGAATGTTTCATTTCCTGCTCTCATGTTGTGCTGTTGAGGTGTGCTAAATGGTGGCTCACCCAGGAGCTACTCTGTTTTGGTGGAAAAAAAATAGCAATCCTCTTGGATTAAGCCTTACAAATTGAAGGTTTGTGCAGTTTGCATAGAAAAGGCCAGATCACTTTTTCTTTTAATCCAAGCAATTCACGTACAGGCAAATGGGCCTGTATTTTTTAAGGCCTATAATTAAAGGTTGCAAGTGCACATTTTAATAGATATTAGAGGTTGGTGAGAAGTGGTTTGCCTATCCCACAAGAGATTTCAAAGTATTTTCTTGTCCCAATGTGTGATGGAAAGTAAAATTTTGGAAGATATTTTGAAATGATTAATCTGGAAAATAACTCAAATTGTGTCAGTTCATAAGTTTCAGTATTTTCATCTTTAAATCTTTTTTAAAAAATCTATGTATTAATTAAAATAGCTACATTAACATAATTTCAAACCAGAAAAAAGATTAACTGTTTTGCTTGGAAAAATCTCTCATTTTGACAATGTAGAAATATTTACTACGTGGGTTTGGTTTGGTTTGTTATTTTTTGGTGTAGGTTTTTTATTCTTAGTTCAGCAAAAGGGACTCTTTTTTTTTTTTTGCAAACAGCTTTCAACAAATTAACATTTTATAACAACAAAAAATGTTCTGATGGAAAAGTCCAGCCCACTTCTAGAAAAATGCATCTCTAACTACCTGATTTGCATCAGAGTTCATGGCAGGCCTGAAAATGTGAGGGTACAATTTTTGCTAGCAAAAGGAATGTCAGCCAATTGCTGAGACATTTTAGTAAAGGTCTGGGATTCCCCACAATATCCTCGGTCAAAATTTTCCTCCTGTTGCTGCTGCTGCATAACAGTGTTTGGCTGTTGTGATCAGGTTGGCTATTATACTCCACTCCAGATGCAGCTTCCTTTCAGCAGTGCTTACTTTATAGAGGTTTTGTGATAGAGGGCCACAAGTAAAGGTGGTGCATGAATATGCCATTATAGCCCCCACTACTTATAAAGCTCTTTGCATTTAATTTGCATTTTTGCACTCATTTCAACCATTGTGCTGTCAGATACGAAATGGGGTGGATAGAGCTGTGTAGCCCATGTATAATGTGTAACAATTCCATCAGGGACCACCAGGGCTAGAATTAGAGCAGCCATACCCAAATCCCCCCACCTCCATTGAGCTTCATGCTGGTGTTAAGGATCTACCAGTACAGAGCTCATGAAAGGATGAGGACCAAAGCCTTTTTTTTTTATTTACACATTGTGTATAAATCCACTGGTGCCAGAGTCTGGGTGAGAGTGGGGCTAAGACCTAGTTCTTAAGTGACATCACCCTAGAAACTCCTTAGTGTCATTATCCTCTTCCTGGTTACAGTTAGAGGGCAGATTGCTGTATAAATAGTCTCACCTGACTGCAGAGCAGCATCAGGTGCAAGCAACAAGCTGACTGGTTGCAGAGCCAGCTAGGCTGAGTATAAAAACCCAGGCCTTGGCCTGCTCAGTATGTTCCACACTGTAATAACTCAGCCTTGCTCTAGCCTGGAGCATTCATATTAACCTATCCTGTCCTCTGTTTGGACTCTCCAGTTCCTGACCTTTGGCCTGACTTGGACTATGAACATGGATATCATTTGTGATTAGAAATGTGACTTTGACTATCTGCTTTTGACTCCTTTGGCCTAGACTGTGGATCTGGATTCTACTGGCTCAGGTACTTGGCTGACCCCACCCTCCACAAGACTGCCCATGTCCCCATCCTTACATTACAGTCACCTATACAGAGGAGTACATTACCAGTACTTGGTACCTGATTACTGAGACAATGTTTCTTCCTTCGGGGGAATACAAACTCTTCCCTCATATAAATGAATTAACATTCATGCACTGCTTTGAGAATGTGAAGCTCTTTATGAGTGTCAGGGCTGTCGTTATGGGGAAGACCAAGGGATGAATCTACACTGATGGGCAGATAATAATTCTAATAGTAGTAGTAAAACTTATCAATTACTGCTATTAAATATTCACTATTTACAAAATTCATGAATATATAAAATATTTTGTATACTACTACAATAATACCTAGCAGTTCCAGGCCCCAGTGTACTCACTGCTGTACAAACAACACGAAGTTGGTCCCTGCCTTGAAAGAATTGTCGACAGCTTCAGATACAAATCTCTTAAGTGTGTAACCTTTTGAAAAAAAAAAGGTTCAGAAAAGCTGACACATGGCAAAGTGCAAGACACTCTACCTTTTGTACTCATGCCTTTGTTTTGAGTAGATTGGATGTTTCTGGCCACTGGAATAGCATGGATATTGGCATAACTGCAGTCTTTGAAATGTTTCCACTCTTCTTAAAAGGTTTTGGTGAATGAAAGCAACATGTCCTAATGGACACTGCACTGCAACTAGAGTCAGGACACCCATGTCCTCCTTCTGATTGCCACTTTCCCTCCTGTGCAGACCTGAGCAAGTCACTTCTGTTCCATTTCCTCCTTCCAAGCCCTGCGCCCCATTCTTGCTTGGGCTTCTCTATTGGGAACATGAGCTTTTGGGGTCATTTATGTGGTACATAGCCCAATAGCTACCTATGCTAAGCTTGGGTCTCCAGTTCTCTCATAATATAAATACTAACAGCAATACATTTTGTACCCAATATATGATTCTCAGCAGATCAGTCCAGACTGGCCTATGCTACCAGTTATGAAACATCCATTTGTACACAAATCATGTTGCCCAAAGGCTGTATTATTCCCCCCAAAGTTGTAATCAAAAGCCCTGCTGCTGTGACCTGATCTGTGCAGCTGGTGTCCTGCACTCAAGTGGAGTTCAGCTGCTTCTTCTAGGAGCTTGTTGAGGATGCAAGGGTCTATCCATTTGAACTGAGTTACAGCATCAGAAACAAAACTCAGGTGTCCAAGGCTGTGAGCCTGCAAACACTTATGCACGTCAATAACTATGAGCAGACCCCCTATGTTTGCTGAAGCTAGTCAGGTGGAGAAACTTACTCGTAGGTACATACATACGTGTTTACAGGACTGGGGTGTAAAACAGTTCACAGCATCGCTTGCTGTCAGTCGCTGTTGGCAGGAATACCACCTCCTTGTATAGGATATGTAGGCCAGCTTCAAAACTTTAATAGCAAACCTCAGTAATTGGCATTTCAGCTTTCCACTGTGTTAGGCATTGACAGAGATGATGGCAGTGGGTATCAGATTGGTATTGTCAGCATGTTTTCCCTGGTAGCAATCAAATCTTATCCTAATTTTTTTTAATGTATTTAATGCAAAACTTATGTCTGAGATCTGGAAACTTGAACTACTTTATTATGCTAAGCTTGTTAAGCCTACTCGCTATCAACTTGGATCAATGCAACCAATTTTATGCAACATGGTTTGCTTAAAAAGACTATCTCAACCTTGAGGCCTGGATTGGATCAGAGCTCAGCCCTGCCTCTGTAGACTATCCAGTATCCAAGTAGTGATGAATACTTGAAGTCACAAGCTGGTAGTAGCATTCAGCTCTACCACAGAATCAAGACCCTGTCCTACAACAGGGCATGAGCCAGTCCTGTTGAATCCAAATGGAATGACTCCCATTCATATATTCCTATAGACATAGGAATGAACAGCCTTTCTTCTGACTCAATTGCCTGCCCTTATGCAGGGTGCAAAGTCATGCACTGAAATATCTGATGCCAGAATTCAGGTTGCCAGGGCAACCCTGATGTGCCTGTGCATTCTGGTACAATCTTTAATTATATGGCCGCTCACGATTTTCTCCAAGGGAGCCCTGATTCCTTCAGTGCTCAGGATGGAGCTGGATCCTGGGATGTATCAGGGTTGTCCAGGGAAGGGTGAAACAGGAGCCCTGCAGCTAGCCTCCTCCTCAATATCCTCCTAAAGCTTTGTCCAGCCATCCTTAGTTGCCTCACGACCCACATTCTCTCATTTTCCCTGCTTCAGGCTCCTTTTCCTAAATTGCTCCCTTCCTTAAACTCCAGCTCTTGTTGCCTTTGCATTTTTTTTTCAGGTAGCTTCCTTCTCTGTGCTGCCTGAGCAGCAGCAGTAGGGGCTTTGCAAGCATAGGAGGGACAGGCTTGTTGCTCCCTCTTCCAGTACTAGGCACCATAGCAACAACCAGAAGAAACTATAGGAATAAAGTCCATTTGTCCCTTGCAGCTCTGGGGTGGAGCAGAGTCAGCTGCCCTGAGGGGATGGTGAGGGCTCAGTCTGATTAGCAGTAAGAGCTCTGAGAGAAGAGAGCATGCTCCATGCAGACAAAATTTTAGGAAAACGTAGGTACCCAATTCTAGCAAGCCTCTACTGAGCATATGCAAACTAACAGGCTTTGTAAAAGCTTATAATAGTGCAGGCCAAACTTCTTGGTAGGCATGCCACAAATTAGCCCTGTTCCTCCCTGGGTGCCACTCTGATCCCCTTCCCCTGTCTGCTCTTCTGTTCTGCTTTCTGCCCTATTTACTGCTGTGTTGCCTGTCTCCTCTGTCACTTGTGACATCCGTGCTGCAGCTTGGCCACCCCAGCTTATAACTTGATCACTTCTTCACAGGGTCATCAAAAACCCCCTGACCCCATTCTCTGCCCTGCCAGCTTCAAGTGCTCCAAATCACAGAGGCATCGGGAAACGTTTTCCCTAATCTTTCTGAAAAATGGTTCAACTACCTTTTGTTGAACATATCAAAAATATTTAGCCTGAAACAGAGATGCTGCGTGGGAAATTTTAACCAGAACTGTAAAAAGTTTGGCAAACTTAGGAAAAATTGAAAACAAGGTATGAGTGGGAAGTGTCAGGCAACATTGGCTATTGCTATCATTAACTGTAAAATATGTGTGACATTGTTACCCCTGCCAGTAATGCATCAGTATTTTTCTCCAAATGTGTTTTTAATGGAGTATGGATAAATTATTATTAAAAAGACTAGAACATCTATTTTATACCTAAGCCCTGGCCAGTGTCATTGCAGCTGGGAAGGTGGTCAAAATCTTTCATTAACTTCTGCTTGTATGATAAATAGCATTAATTCATCACTTTTCTTGTGAAAAGGGGGTAGGGCTGAGTGTCTTTCTCTTTCCTTACTATGCCCCCCAGAATGGGATTCTTCAGAAGTCAATTCTTCTTGAAATCAGTGCTCAATAGTTAAGCCAATGCTACACACTTGAAAATCCCATCCCAAACTTGTCTGAATCAGCCTCCAGATTAGAAATACATACCTGCTACAGAATTTATATGCAGTCTTAGGACTGATTTCAGCTTTACCATTTAAATGCTACTCAGACTATGATGACCTAAGCAGCCATCAGATTCTACCTAGCTGCTATGGTTTGGCTTGCTTACTTCCCTTGTGATTCACTGCTTAAAAAGCATTAGAGCAGAGATGTCTTGAGTTGTGCCCAGTTGAGTGCGACATCAGTAGCTCATCAAACCTAAAGCTATTTTGCCTAAATCAGGGCCGGCTTCAGTGGCTCCGCTATTGCATGCAGAATGGTTTGGATCAAGATGGGGCACAGCTTGCTTGTAATGGTCATATAAACCCAGCAGCAGAGGCCACTGAGGACTTGCTAGTGACATCATGTTACAATGGCTTTCTCCTGTCTCATTCTAGAGGAGGCCAGTTAAAGTGGAAGGGATCCCTGCATAGCTGAGTCCTAACTCATAGATGACAGCGAACATCCCTTTACCCCCTCCTTCCCTTGGCACACATTTCAACATGGACACAGATACAACGCTGAAAAAGACTGATTAATACAGAAGCATGCTGCATAGTCTCCAATCTCCTATGCTTTTGTGCATAGGCTGCTTTCTAGCTAAGTGAGGTAGAGGGATAGATTTTGTCCCCACAGCACTCAGAAGGTAGCTTTGTTCTACCTCTTGGAGACTCGCGTGCTATCCTAGGTTGATTCAGTGGCTGTCAGACAGGGCCAGCCTCATGGTATGAGGGAGTGTGAAAGTGAGGCCAGGGAATATAGTCATTGCAGGGGAAAATGTCTCTTGGGTACACATGTCAAGGGGGGAAGAAGGGAAGCTGAATGTCAGCCCTCTGAGCAAAGGTGCCCTACAGGAAGCAAAAACGCTGGGAACCCCAGTGCATGCAAATATTTGTGCAATGATGATGAGCAGCTGAAAATCTCTAAGGGCTACTGCAGAACAGGCAGGTCAGATCATGACAACCACTTGTGCAGAATTCCTGCAACAGCCTGGTTCCAAGGAGGGAGGATCTTGAAGTTCAGGCTTTGGATTGGGATTCAGAAGGTCTGAGTTAAATGTATGACACTGCCACAGGCTCCCTGTGACCTTGGGAAAATCACTTAAGCTTTCTGAGCCTCAGTTCCCCATGCATACGCTACGGATACTAATACTTCATTTGTCTGTCCTACCTAATTAGACTGTTGGCTCTTTGAGGCAAAGGACCATCTTGTAACAGATATAAAGAGCAACTTTCTGGTGAGGACAGACAAAGAATGATACTGCTTTAAAGGGGAGGAATTTACAGCTTGCCAGCTCATGTCAGCTGCTCCATTGTAACCATTTCATCTGTCTACTCCTATCCTATAGTAAGTGAAGCTGAACTGTGATAATTAGCACTGAAAGAAACAGGGTTAAAGCCGTCTTGGTTTAGCTTTTACTTTCCGCAGGTTAGGAACAAATATGCAAAATAAAGCATATGTACCTGAATCACAGTAAATCCCCTTCAC